GAAGACACTGGTGTCAAATTTGTCAGATCTTCTCTGGCAAACAGTACAATTGGGGTATGACATCTTTGCTGTTTCTCCAGATGTTCATAAGATTTAGGAGATAGCCAGTTTAGACTTTTGAATAATGCTACTTGCAGTTGATTTTACTTACGTGAAGACCTTTTTCAAAACACTGTTTTTACTGTTATGGATATGTTGTTTGGTATTGGAAACTCCACAGATGTACGGTACCTCCCAATATGCTGTTATTTTTGTTGCCATGGCTGGAGCATTTTTCAACAAAAATGCAGTATAATATTGTAGAACATTAGCTGCTTTTAATAAGCATGCTAATGCAACAAGTAGGAACAATATATGTAGATGTTTGTTAATATTTGCTGAGTTTTTAAATGCAACATTTAGATAAGTCTCTACATCATTGGTATGATACTTACAACAAGAAAGTTTGAATCAATATGAGAAATTTCATTGTATTTGATATGATTTGGCATATTACACGAGACCCAAATGAGACATCGAAGACTACACAGATTGGATGGAACATGTCTAAGAACTGGTTCATTCAGTAACTATGGAGTAAAAAAGCATTGAATTAAGGAATGATGGAATGGAAGTTGATCCATCATTCCTTAATTCAATGTTTTTTTAAACATAGTTTTTTTCAATGATCCTAGTTGGCAACATGATGTTAAGAACTCTGCAACTTTGTTCTCATAGAATCACTAATATTTTGAATCTCAAACCAATCAGTATATCCATACCAATGATATGGAGTATAGAATAGATGCTTACAGTTTGCAAGTGAGTGATTAAGCCACATTTGTCTAAAACTTGTTCCTATGAATGACTTGAGTCACTCAGTTACACTGAAATTTGTCTAAAAATGATGGATGCTCTTCTGATGTCACAATCAGGTGTTCTGGAAAAGCCCAAACAAAAAGACCATGTACTGTTGTGTACAGTACTGTACATAACACAGTGTAGAGAAATTGGCAAATTTTGTCAATTGTACAAATTTTATTCTATCAAATGAGAAATAACAATTTAAATTTATTTTTAAAAATCTATTATGAAATACTTTAATAAACATTCACAATTTTAATAACCTTATAAAATGATTTTTTTTTCTATTTATATATTTAATTATTTGCCAATATGATTAAATTTATAAAATAAATTGTTTTCAAATTATAATATTAATTTTAGAATGAAATTAAGATAGTTTATGAATATTTTAAAATCGGAGCAATAGCATCGTATTGGAAGATGGGTACATTGCCCCCACTCTTTAACCATGACATGATCCTGTGGTATTTCTGTTAAACAATGCTGGCCACTTGCCAAAGATTGGACAGAGGTCTGAGTAGCGTAATTAACAATGCATTTGCATGGTAGGCAGTAGTTGTAGGTTTAAATCCTTCTCAAGATTGATTTTTCTGTCCAGAATATTCTAAATGAATTAATTTAATTCTAATTTTTAAATTTTAACACAAGATGACAACTTAATCAATTAACTTTTAATCCATATTACATAATATTCATAGATTTAATAAAATGGGTTACAGTTTGATAATGAAACTATTTAATCTATAAGTTATCAATATATATTTTTTTAAAGGAGGCATGTTAAAATATTTTTGATAGTGAGAGATTTATATATTCAATATATTATATTGTATATTATAGTGAAATATTGTTGAATATATATAAAGTAGAAATTTTCCCATCAAGTATGATTGAATACTTTTTCTGAGAAAGTAGAGATTGAAGAATTGAGAAGAGTGGAGATTTCAAGAAATTCAAGAGTTGTTAAACTACCCTAATTTGTAGAAATATTATGTGTTTTAACATAAAGAGCAACAAAAAAAAAATTTTCCTGGAGTGGACAAAAAAATAGTTATAGAGAATTCACTTACACACATACAGATTTAGGCCTTCATATTAAAATCTATCCTTATAAAATTACTTTATACACTATATTCTGAGTAAACACTCTATTGTCTTTTAAAAAATTTCCTTGCTGTCTTCCTTTAGTAACAGACACCTTTGTATTATTTTGATGATTGACATTGTGATGCTGTTTCTGCAGTCCTTGATAAAGCCATTTCTTAATTCCATGCTGATAAAACAAAGGTAGATTGTATGTACATTAGTTAGGTGAGTGATAACACTTTCTAAATAATGGGCTAATTAGATCATTAGTTTTGATTGGCTAATAGAACATCACATGGTCGTTATGGAAAGAATTTTTAGAAATTTGTTATAGAAGTGACACTATGAGGCCTTTTTTTTTTTTAAGTTTAAATTTTAAATTTAATGAAGTATGGTTAAAATACACCGTTTCGCCAAAATATTTAAAAATGCAATGTAAGGGAAATTCCCTTGTCAAGCATTAACATGTGGTCACTGATTTCACTGCACCTTAAGTGCAATCACCAATCCGAAATTGATAAAACATATATTCTATACCTAATATTTTTGCAAAATAAATAGCCTATACTTTCCTTCAGAACATAAAATGCCCATGCCTATAACCAAAATTTCATCTGGATTGGAAAAAATTTCAGGAATTATAAGGAATTCACACATGTGCATGCAGACAGCAGCTTTTATATTAGTAATTAGAACATTATAATGTATTGAATATATATAAATTAGAACGATTGTAAAAAAAATGTATAGACTAATGTTATGTAGTAGTAGATGGCTGGGCCATGTCAGTGTAAACAAATGCTTGCAAACATGCAGCCAATGCTCTGGAAAGGCTAAAATGGAACCATTGACTAGCTGCAGTCTTTAATTAAAGAATGACTCCCAGAAAAAGATTTTATCCTCATTTCTAGTGGATAGTAGTAGACATTTGCATCATTATAGACAGGTGTATCATGCTCAAGAAATATAAGCCTGGTGAGCTCAGTTATGAGCTTGTTACAGCTGATGGAGGTTTTATGTTCCTTGAAATATGTTCTAGTAATATAATGTTATAATGTTTCTGGTAATGATTCCCACATTAATCCCACAATAATGATATCATTTGATGGGTGCCATAAAGGAATTGCATAGATCCTGGATTTTTGTATGTAAGGAGGCAATTCTGATTGTTGGGAAAGATAAGATGCAGTGAGGGGGCAAGATGAACAAACAATAATTGAAGAAAGAAAATATCTTGGAAAGCTTTAAAGAAATATTACCAATAGAAAAATAGAAACCTTAGTAAACAGTTTTTGTAGGTTTTGATTGCTTGTTGACTAAGAGTCTGGAAAGCTAATTGGTTTTGTGTGTGGTAATTTCAAAAAAATAGATAGAGACAGAAGATATTTTTGAGAGGTAGAGAGGAACTGTAAAGGTGTCCTTCAGGACTGGACACAAGATGGAATAATTTATCATGGAGTTTTTAACTAAAACAGTGTGCAATCTGTTTGGGTTAAGAATTTAGCCATGTTAAGCTGGAAGTTATCTGTAGAAATGGCCCAAACAGTTTCATTTTGTCTGTGATAAGGAGTCTAAGATAATGTATGCAGTTACTGTTAAAGCACCTGTCAAACAATCAAATAATGTGTCATGAGGAGCCATTACTAGAATACTTGGAACACATTAGAAGGAATGTAAAACATCCATCAGCCATAACAAGTTCATAACTGAACTCATCAGGTTTACACTATTTGAGCAGTATACACCTGTCTGGGATTGATGTGCAATGTTTACTTTCTACTAGAGATGTGGATAAAATCTTTTTCCAGTAGTCACTCTTTATTTATGGACTGCAGCTGGTCAGTGGTCCCACTATAACCTTTCCAAAGCACTGGTTGCACATTTGCAAGCATTTGTTTACACTGGTGTGGCCAAGCTACCATCTCCATGTAACGTTCTGTATGTGTTTTTTCACAATTGTTCTTCTCGTCTGTTTACACATGCAACACTTCATACCTCTAATTTATCATTTGTATGATTATTAGAACATTGATAAAAAATAAAAATGTGTGTAATTAGAAAATGTACTAATGAAGTTTTACAAGGCTAGTTTACATATTTTTATGTTCGAGCAAGGAACTTCATGAACTAGTTGTAAAAAATGGTTTTTCTGTTAATTGAAGATTTGCATATTTCAGACACCTCCATTTAAAGTTTGTTTCAAATTCTGTTTGTATAAATACAATATTATTATAATAATAAATTTGTGCTGTTTTCATTAAAACTTTATAATAGTTCTCCCTATTTATAATTTGACATTACAATGTCAAATTATAAATAGTCAAATTACACTGGAATTTATAAATCATTCCTTAAACTATTTTGATATGTTTGTATATTATATCATATATGATTTAAACACAAGGGCACTGTTAAACATACAGTATGCTGTTGCATGGATATATACTGCTTATCATCTGCTATCTTCAAGTACTATCGAAGGTACTGTACATATATCACACTGAAAACTGAAGTCCTATATTGTTTAATTAACAGGTTTCAGTTGTCATTTCAGAATATCTTATAATGTGAAATTGATTGACACTCAGTTAAATTAAAAATGTAAATTTGTTTATAAATGTGTAGACCAACACACACACACACACACTCAAAAACCAAAAAGATTTGGCAACATTTTAACAAAAAGCTGTTTTCAAATGCTTTTAATAGTTATCAGCAGGTTATCATATATAAAAAGAACAAGAATTTGAACATAGGTTTAAAAAGATGGAACATCTGATTCAATGGAACGGTGAGCATCACTTCAGCTGTTTACAATTCAAAATTACATAAAAAGTTTTTTTAAGAAGTACTTCCATGCTTGTGAGAGTGTGTATTGTTCTTATAATTTATCGCTGTATTTTTTTTTCATGTTAAAAACTGTTTTCTATAGTAAAAATATGCATTCAGATATAATTGCTTTATTAACTTCATTTTTTTATGTGTTTTAAATAAATTTTATTATCTATAATAATCTCTCAATATATATAAGAAAATTTTGATAATTTAATCTTTAACTAACAACTAGATATGGAAGATGCACATACTCATCTGTTATCTCTTTCTGAAGATAAAGATGCAGCATTTTTTGCAGTATATGACGGTCATGGAGGAGCAAAAGTTGCTCAATATGCTGGAAATCATGTTCACAAAAAGATAGTCGGACATCCTTCATATAGTGAGAGAACAAATTTTATGCATGTTATTAATTTTATATTATTATTATTTGACATTATTATTAAAATAAAGGTGTGGTATTTTCCTTTCAAATATAATAATAAATATTGTACTTTACTGTGGAAGCTTTTATATAATAGTTATTTTATACAAGTAATTTTTAAATGTTTTGTATGTTTGCACAGCTCTTCTGAAATTGTATAAATCCATTCTTTTGTTTCCCAAATTTATTTTTATTTTATAAGTTAATCTTTTTTCAAATGGGTTTTATTCAACGATCTACAAACAAAAATCCTTTATATGTAAGCATATAGTAAATTTTTGCTTGTAGACCAGTCTATAACCTTCAAAATAAAGTCTCTTTTCATGTTAGATCTATTAATCACTTATTTTTGTAAGTGTTTCATTTTAATAACCATTGCTTTTGGAAAAAATTTTACCTTAAGGATTGTAATTCTTTTTGTTAATGAAATATTACAAAGTAAGAAAAATTATGAATACTTTTCTAAGCATTAATTACTGCAAAAAACTGTATGTACTACTATAATTAACTCAATATATACCTAAATCTAGTAAGTTGAATTAATTATACCTTTCTAAGCTTTTTTTCCACTTCTATTTGTTTGATTGTAATTTGTCGTTTTAGAATACAACATATTGAGTTTTACTTAACTTTTCTCTCTATAAAGAGAAAAGTAGAGTTTGTAATAAAGTTTGTGGTTTTAATGTTTAAGAAAGCATAAATGCATTATATTTTAGTTGATTTTAGCATTTCCTCAGGTAGTAGTAGAAATCTTGCAACAATTACTTAATATCTAGAGAGATTACTTTTCAAGAAGAAAAATCATGTTGTGTTTTATTTTTAATAAAGGCTGGCTATGTTTTAGAACTCTTTGATCAAATTTTGTATAATTTCTGTTGCAGTATATATTAAATTTATTAAAATCTTACCATATTCAAGTAGTCAAATAGCTACAGTACATTATTGTTCAGATATATATTTCTCCAAGATAATCATCTATAAATGAGGATATAAAACATGATGAATGTCTTGATAGTTTTGAAATAATGTTTTTCTTTTTCTTTGTTAAACTGTAATCATAAACTATTATAAACAGCTTATTTTTAGGTGTTTAAATGATGAGAGAACCAGAAAATTAAAGCTGGATCTAAAAATTTCATGATTAATTTTAAATTTGCAAATTTTTAGAAAAAGGGGATGTAGTTGATGCCATCAAGCAAGGATTTTTGGAAATTGATTCTGACATGTTAAAAGGTAATTGAAATTTTTAAAATTTAATTAATAGTATTTAATCATAGTTTACAAATTTTCTATTTAATTTGCAAAACTTTAAAAACCTATAGTCAGTTCATAATTTATCCATACTAATCTAAGTTAGTGCTTGAACTAGTGAATTGATACAAGTTTTTATTTAATCCTGTTTGAAGATGTTATATAATTAATCTTCTGGTTTAAATGACCAAATAAATACTAACCACTTTATATCTAGCAAAAATCTATTAAGAACAAGTATTTTAGACTATATATAGGTTTTCTATCTTTCAAAGAAGAATTTGCTTGATCCTGGAGTGAATATTTGGAAGTGTTTCAATGTGTAAGGAACAAAATTTGAAAATGTAAAATGCATTTGATTTAATTATTTAATGCATTAGTGTGTTAGAAAGCACTTTCAAATATTTATTCCATGACAGAATGAGTTCTTTATTTGAAAGACAAAGAATCTGAAGTTGGTTTAAGTTAGACCAAAAATATTTGTACAGTTGACCCCCATAACACGGGTTCATATAATGTGGATTCGTATATTGTGGTGAAAAAATTACAACCCGTATTCGTATAAAGACGCTAAAAGAGACTTGTAAAATGCAGTAAAATGTCATCGCTGACTCGTGTCACGACAGGATTGGTCGAATCTGGACCAATAGTGGACGAGCAGCCGAACTACTTACACGCTACGGAGAGTTTAGGCGGGTAAGTTGAGTTTACTATCATCTGTACAGTATATAAATTAGGTACTGTAAGTCTAATACAGTACAACCAACAGACTGCCGAAAATCTATCGGGCTAGTTTTATGCTACTTATTAGATAAATTATGTAATCGATTTGGTACTAGAGGTAAGCGTTAGGCGCCATCTCTTATTAATATTAATAATTATAAATAATTTTAATTAATTTAAATAACTTGGAACCGCTGGGAGAAAAAATCGGCCCGGAGCGGGACTCGAACCCACAACTCCTGCTTACCGTGCAGATGCGTTGCCAGTTACGCTACCCGGACCTCCGATCCGATCTCCTCTTCCAGCGTATATAATCTAACTACTTAACCATCGACGGTTATTACAACGCCGGCTGGGGACACATTCAGTGCCCACGTCCTACTTCCCATACGGCTCTCAACCGGCCATCGCAAGCCCCGGCAAGGCGTAATATATATACAAACATCTCCAACCCGATATATAATTATAGCTACAACCAACAGACTGCCGAAAATCTATCGGGCTAGTTTTATGCTACTTATTAGATAAATTACGTAATCAATTTGGTACTAGAGCCTAACGCTTACCTCTAGTACCAAATTGATTACGTAATTTATCTAATAAGTAGCATAAAACTAGCCCGATAGATTTTCGGCAGTCTGTTGGTTGTAGCTATAATTATATATCGGGTTGGAGATGTTTGTATATCTAATACAGTACTGTAATTTTATACATTTCTTGTGAAAAAAACATTTCTTATTCAATGGCCATAAAAATTATTTCTATTAATGATGTCTCCAAAGTTCAACAAATTTTTCGCAGAAAAATAACTTATCAGAAAACGCACCCGCTGTTTGGTGCGCTGCTCCACAACGAAAACAAGCTTAAGCAATGGCGTCGTCGAACGGGTCGCACTCAATAAGTAATCCTACAATTTTTTGTTTATAGCATAGTTTATACGGATTATTCCCAAAAAATTATACGTGTTTTGGAAACGTTCAAGTCAAATTAGTCTAGAATCAATAATTTTATGGAAGAGAACCTTTCAAACAGCCGTAGTCCGTAAACTGCACACGTGTCGGGCTGTGATTGGCTCGTGTATTTAAGGATTCCTACAACGCGAAATTCTTATAAAGTGGAATGTATCTACCGCGTTATAGGGTATAGGACTGTACTTAAAATTTTGCTGGTTATAATGTGGGTAACTAACTTAGACCATCATCAGGAATCTTAACAGAATAATTTAATTAATCTAATTCTGTTAATGAAGATTCCTAGTGATGGTTTATAAATTAGATTGAATAAATTCTTTTCATAGTGAAAAGATGATGTTTAATTGGAATAGGTTTTAGATTATTAATAAATGTTTAATAAAAGTAAATAAAAAAAGACTCTAATTTATTAACTCTCTGGTTGGTTTTATTTAATCAAAAATTGTATATTTGTACATAGATTTTCGAAGCTGGTGGAACCAAAAGGGGTTTTAGAATAAACAAAATTTCAGATAATCTAGAAACTTGTTTGTGTTTTGAGTATAGCATTAAATGCTGTGTGTTTAAAGTTTCATAAATAATAAATACTGTAATACAATTACTATATGTGAAAGTAAATTCTCAAAATATTATGTAATGTGATCAAGTTTTTCAGTATTATAATTGACAGATGTAGTCATTTCCAGTTAGTTTTTTGTAAGTTCTCTTATGCACTCGCATGCATACACACGAAAAAATAAAGTTTACAAGAACTAATGAGAGAAAACTCTTGAGATATCAACTTTTTAAATTTGTAAGTACTAGTACATAAAAAGAATTCAGAATAAAAAATATCAGTAACAATTATTTACTTTGGGATATATGGATTAAAAACTGTCAGAAAGCATTGCTTTTTAAAATATTTTTTCATGTAAGTGACATAATTTGATGGGAAAAAATTAGCATGTGAAATTACAAGCTTTAGTATAATTTATGACTTCAATAGTGGTATACAATGCATTGTACTCCTTGAAAATCATTATCTATAAAGCAAGCATGTATTGTTTTCTCTCTCCCCCCTCTTTTTTTTATATTATAACTGTTGAGAAGTTTGGAGTTGATACCCTTGTTTTTCTAGAACAGTTTTTAACAGTTTTAAGCTTCTTTATTAGTGCAACAATTATTTTCTACAATTCTTTTCATATATATTACTATTTTAAGTTACTTTTAGCTCTTTTTTGTTTTCAAATTCTCACACTTATTTTTATCTAAAGTGATAAGATATGCTTTATTTTTTAATTTAAACATTTGCTTAGTTCATTTTTTTTCTACTTCTATTAATTTAAACTGTAAGTGAAATTTGTGCATATCAATTCTATATATTATGTATTGCTTTAAAAAAATATATTTTTATGATTATTCTTTTTTATCTCAAACTTTGAATAATTCAGCTGTGAATTTTAAAAATTGAAAATTATATATTGATACTATTAACTTTTATTTTGTTAACTATGCATTATGGTATTATTGATTGCAACCATTGCGTGCAACACAAGGACAAATAATCAGTCAGATGCAATGCATTTGCTTCTAACTTGTTTTAATTTACATTATGGTTAATAAACTGCTCAGTTGTAACTTCAATTTTGACTTTTTATTATTTTAAAAATTCATATTCTTTTAATACTTTATTTACCACAGATGATATTTCTTTGAGGTGTGACACACAAAAAATAGAAGACTGTGCCTATATATTTTTTTATTTAATAAATTGAGAAAATCAAGTATGATCTTCAAAATAGTTCCTTTCTAAATTGACATATAGCTGCCTATGATGCTTTCAGTGTTGACAGCAATTCTGCAGATCATTTTCTGAAAGGCTACTGAGGATCTGTCGTTTTTGCTTTCACATCATAAATGTTTGAGTACTGACTTGATCTTTGGGAAGTGGTGGGAGTCACAGGGAGCTAGGTCTGGCAAATAGGGTGGGTGCTTATGCACAACAATATTGTTGATCAGCTAAAAACTGCTTCACAGACAAACCTTTGCAGGCTAATATATTGTCTTGGTCAAAATCCAACCATTTCTCTACAGTTCCTTTCTCCTGATTGTGTTTCATTTTGAAATGCAATTGGGGAAAGGAAACAATTAGCCTTGCCTATGTTTTCACTGCCTGCTGAAAATTGTTTGTGCCATTCAGAAATAATGTAATTAATAATACTACCATTATGATCTTAGATTCTAATTACACTTATTTATATGAGAATTGTTGGGCTGCAATTTGAAAAAATTGTAGATCTAAAAATTTCCACTGTTGTCCATCTGTCTTTCCTTAAACTCTAATGGAGTTAGTTAGATGAAAGATGAGATCATATATGAGAAGCTTAGGGACAGGAGGCCCTGATTGACTATATACAAATTTCCAATGCAAACTGGAACTCTTGTTATTTCAATTAAAAACTTTTTCCCTGTAGGAGTTAATAGATGATTGTCATGACACTATTGCTAATAGGGAAAGTATGATTTACAGGGGCAAGAACAACTAATTTGGGGTGGAGAGCATATGTTTTAAATTAAATGAATTAGAAAATGATTAATAATTGCTTGTTCTGTTGGCAGATATTTTTTAAATATTTCAAATCTATTATTCTGAAAATTTAAGACAGATATAGTTCTATAATTGTGTGATTGTAGGACACTTTTTAGCACTCAACAGAATCTTTGACAACTTGCTTGCTTATCAATGTTCATAGCTCTTTTCTTTTTTTCTTCTTGCATTCTTTGCATTAAATTTATTCTAACAAAATATAAACCCTATATCTGGCCACAACTAATAAAATAATTTTATTTGATGCAATCTAAACAAACTGTTTTCATATGTTTTGTATGTTTTATAGTTTGTAGGTAAACTTCTATGAATGGTGAAGTACAATTTTCAACTTTAATATGTTTATTGATTTGCTTGCTTTGTTTCTTACTCAACTGAGAATTGTGCCATTTTCTTTTGTTTCTGTATCCTGTTTTTTCTTGCAAGCTTGGATCTGTTGTTATGCAGTTTCTTTTAATGTGTCTTATTTCTTAACATTTTGCATCTTCTATTGGCATTGGTTAACTCCAAAGTGATGCTTTTGTTCTGCTGACATTGTTTTCATTTTGTCGCTTAGTAGTAGAATTTGGTTGACTTATTGTTTTTCTTGTGGAATTCTTTTCTGAGTATTCTTTAATTGTATTAAGCAAAAGTATTTTTCTTAATTCCTATTGTCTCTGCTTCCTGTTGATCAATTCTTTTGGCTAGCTCCTGTAGTTTTGCGACTGTTGATACATTATGCATGGCAATCGCAATAGCATGTTTCCTGTTTTCTCTGCTATCTATAAGATAATCAATCTCATCTTCCTCACGAATCATTGCAGGGCAGTTGATTCTTAAGTTTTAACTTTGAATAAAAGTAATGAGGGAGTGATTCATTAGGTTGTTGCTGCCTTCTTGCCTCCACTCCCTTACATCATAAATGCAATGTAATTCTCTTTCCAAATTCTTGGCGAAGATGTTTCCATTTTTCCCAGTCCTTGATCTTGCAACCATTGTATATTGCCAATCTGAAACAGATCCTTTCAGCTTACTGATTGCCAACAGCAATATTTGACACTCTGCTAACTTTCGTTGGTTTTTATAATTTCTAAATGTTATATCCAGTCTTCCTCACTTTCTGTTGTGTAACCATTAAACTCTGATAATGATTGGGTCAAATCTGATACAGTTTGTATTTCTATAACAATATTGTTTGTTTGCTGCTGTTCCTTTGCTTTTTGCTGCTGCATCATTTTCATTAATTTATACATCATGTGCATGGTCACTTCCAATGATGACTTTGTCTGAACTTCTTTATCATCACAAATCGAACAATTGGTATTATTATTACTTGGTATTTATTCTAATTTTATACTTTTTATTTTTTCTTGGATTGATCACGAGTAATGCTAGTATTTATAGTGGACTTAGAAGCCAACGTGTCTTCCTTGGTTTCAATTTCCTCAACAGTCGTGCTCTCCATCCTAATCGCTTCTAACAGACATCATAATTCACATTTTGGGCCATTTTTCTTTAAATTATGTGATTCTAGTTCTTGCTTAAGTTGATTGATTGTAAGCACTCTAATGTCTTCTTTAGTAAGCATCTTACTTTGGGCTTAGGTCTGATTGGTGGAAAATAAATTTTTGTAATAACAATAGTCAAAAGGCAATCTCTTGGTTCTTCTCAAATTTAGCAGTTCTTTGGGGCTCAAAGTGGTCAGTACATAGTCATAAACAATTCGTTCAACTGCGCAATACTTTTGTAGGGCACTTTTTAACATTTGAGAGCATCTTCAACTTGCTTGCTTATCAATGTTCACAGCTGTTTTTTTTTAATCCTTGCGCCTCTTGCGTTAAACTTATTCTAACAACAAAAAATAAATCCTACAATAATATAAATAAGTAAATGTAAATGTGATTATCGTATCTGTACGAAAAAGATATTTTTATATTCTAATAAATTTTTTTAATTTTTATAGATGAAAATATGAGAGATGAACTTGCAGGAACAACAGCAGTTGTTGTGTTGTTGAAAAATAACAAGATATTTTGTGTGAGTTTATTTAAATATTATTAGAAATATATTAGAATAATAAATTATAAAAAATTTATAATTTTAAAAGTATTTATTATATTTCAATTTATTTAAAACATATATGATGAGTGTGTAAGATACATTGTTGGTATTTATATTGCTATCGTGGCAGTTGAATCTAAGAACACATTTGGGATGCTTCTGTTGCAGGTGTCAGACAATTTTCACTTTGCACTGAAAAAACACCTGCAACAGAAGCATCCCAAGTTGATTATAAGATAGCCCAAAAATGTTTCTGGTCAAACAAATAGTTTATAGTCTATTTATCCTAACTTGGCAGCTACTGTAAACAAAGATTCTGTCGTATTAATCCGCCGAAGATTTTCATTGGTCAAATCACAATCGGAAGTGGCTCGACACGTGTTGACCAGTTATAAGCCCCTTTCTCTGCACGTGTTAAAGTAGGTCAAAGTTGTCACAACAATTTAAAAATTACCGAGATAATACAATACTTAGAAAAGTTATTATAGCTTACTTTAACATTTTTACGTAGCCGTTTAAATTATTTCCATCGTTTAAATATAGTTTGTCAAAAATTATTATTAAATATATATTATTAAGACTTACAGAAAACATGTATGAATTTATCTATGTTATATTTATATAAATAAAAATTTTTTAAAATAATTATAGTGTAAACTTACCTTATTAATCATCTGTATCAGAACATAGTTGCTCAAAGTAATCATTTATATCGCTTTCGTCACTACTTGTGTTAGACTGAATAATCAGTTTTTCTACAACAGTTTCTGAAATCTCATCAAGTTCCCACATTCGTTGTTCTTCTTTTTCTATATGTTCAATACATTTTCTCCATCGTTCTTCATTTATTTGTTCGATAGCTTCATTCATTAAAATTCGCACATCCGACAGTTTGAATGTTGTGTTGTGACGTGCGATGTAACCTTTCATATCTGCCCATATCAATTCAATAGGATTTAAATTACAATGATACGGAGGTAAACGTAACACGTCGATACCTATTTCTTTGGCCATTTCGTCAATAATATATTTATCGTATTTATGTTTTATTTTTTTAACAATATCCAAAAGTTCTATTTTCAACATTTTGTCGTTATGACGAACCCTATTTTTTTCCAACCAAGAAATTATGTCAGCTTTTTTCCAACTACAATTTGGAATCTTCTCAATTTTAGCTGAGTGATATGGAGCATTGTCCATGACAACAACAGCATTACTTTCTAATTTTGATAATATTTTTTCAAACCATTTTTTGAAATTATTGCTATCCATTTCTTCATGGTAATCTTTTGTCGACTTTGATTCAAATTCATACAGACCACCATTCAGAAAACCTGTATTGCTGCCTATATGAACAACAACTATTCGTTTCCCCTTTCCAGAAGGATTTTTCAATCCAGTAGATCGTCCAGACATAAAAGCTTCGCGATAAGACGTAATTGAACAATCCTTCCATACTTTATTCTTGGTATGGCCCGCATTAATCCATGTTTCGTCCAAATAGTAAATTTTACGGCCTAAAGAACGCATTTCTCTTATTTTTCGTAGATATTGTCTTCGCCATAAAATGATATCGTCTCTTTCAATTAATCTACTATTTCTGTTTCGGTTCGTATATTTAAAATTAAGTAATTTTAACAAATTATATATCGTAGATCGAGTAAAGTCTGGTAAATCTGGATCGTCATTAACAGCCTGTAATACCTTATCTACAGTAGGTAATTCGTTTAAAAAATAAAAATTGTGTACTTTACCTCTAATGGCACATTTTGTGAATTCGTCATATTTGTCAACGAGTTGAGTACGCTTACGGGTTTTCGAAGGAGTTATTACTTTACCATTAGTAAAATATTCTTTACGAATTCTGTAAATGCTCCGTTCTGATATCCCTGTTGTCTGTGCTACCATTTTCACTAAATCCTTCACGCAGACTTCTGGATTCGTTTCAGTTAAAGAATTAAACAAATTTAATACTATTTGTTTATCCGAGCTCCTCAGCGATTTTCCTTGCCGATGTTTAATCGTATTTACATTCAAGTTTTCCATTTTTGTAATTCAACAACACAATTTGAAATAACGGTAGTTATTGCAATGAATGGAAAAAGAAACAAAAACATTATAGTGCGCATGACCGGAAAAAGTTTATTTCTAATGATTCAGAATGTGCAAATATTTATTAAAATAACAACTTAACAAATATGAAATAATAACATTTATAATCATTGCTAAGTGAATAGCATTTCATTAATGATTTTATAAATAACGAAGAACTATTTTCTGCGGACGAATGAGATGCAATACGATTTTTAATTGATGGACATGGGTTTAAACCAATAAACAAAGGGAGGTGTGTCTTAGTTTGTTTACAGTAGCTGCCAAGTTAGGATAAATAGACTATAG